CTCCAAAAATCTGCAACAGGGCCTCATCCCACAGGGGAGGGCTTGGGGTTCCATGTTGCTTTTCTTTATTTTATTTAATTTTATTTTACTTTTTTTTTTTTTTGCCCGATTTTACTAATGGGAAACTTTCTGGAACTTCCAGGGGCCGTGTCCATGCCAGAGTTGTCAGAAAGTAATGGAATAAGGTGGATGTCCTCCCTGGAAGCAACAATTGAAGATGCAAGCGTGAAAAAACCTACGGCAGAAAGGCTCGAGCGCTTGAGGAAGGAAAAGGTGGGGTTTGCAGCACATTAAGGGAGCAGCAGGTTATGTGATTTCTGGGGTATTTCATGTGAAAGGGGAGGCTTCCTCACAGGAGGAGGGAGGGCTGAGGATGGTAAAAAAATAATCAGAAGCTGAATCTATTTGCTTAGTTTTATGCTGTCAAAGAAATAAAGAGTTTGTGTCTTGCTTTTTAGATAAACCGCTTCAGGAATCAGCATAAGATTAATGTTCAAGGGACAGACCTTCCTGACCCAATTGCCACGTTTGAGCAGCTTCAAAGGGAGTACAAAGTCCACCCTAAAATCATGGAGAATATTCAGGCGGCTGGCTTCCAGGTCCCAACACCAATCCAGATGCAGGCCATCCCCGTTATGCTCCACGTAAGCTCTCTGCTATTGTGTTTTATCATTCTGAAGGCAGTGCTTGGATTGAGGTCTCTTTTTAGGGTCACAGCAGTGGTTTATACAACTTTAAATATGTATCAATCCATCGGAGTTCAAAATTTGGATTTTACAAGATTCTTGATTTGTACTTTAAATAGTGGCTTCTATTTGCTTAGTTTATGACACTAATATTGACATGAACATTCTTGCTTTTTTTTTTTCCATCTAGTAAGATATAACACACTTCTTTTTTTTTTTTTTTTTTCACAGGGCCGTGAACTTCTTGCGTCAGCCCCCACTGGCTCTGGAAAAACACTGGCATTTTGTATTCCTCTCTTAACACACCTGAAACAGCCTCAGAACAAAGGCTTCAGAGCTCTCATCATATCCCCTACCCGAGAACTTGCCAGCCAGGTCTGTGTGGGGAAGGGGTTGTTGGAATATCTGTGTACAGTACAACAGAGTTCTACATCTGATTCATAAAAATAAAATTAAGGTTTTTGATTGTTTGTTTGCTTTATTTTTTATTTTTTAAGACACATCGAGAACTGGTAAAATTGGCTGAGGGAACTGGCTTCAGAATACATATGATCCACAGAGCAGCAGAAGCAGCCAAGAAGTTTGGGCCCAAATCATCTAAGAAATTTGGTAATTGTTTTAACTAGTTAAGCTGTACAGGAAAGTACTCAAATGACAGAAGAATCTCTAACTCTTCTGGCATATGTGGCTTTTAAGAGGTCATTTAATACCAGTTGAGTAACGAGTTGCATTACTCGAGGCTAGATGAAGTAGCTTGCATGGAAGGAATGGGAAGTGAACTCATTGCTAGTGGATCTTTTCAAATCATATGCTTTAAAAAGGTGAATATCACAGAAGATGGGGCACAAGAGAATGGAGGGGGATAGATTTTTATATCCAAACCACTTTTGATGGATTTTAAGAACAATTTATTTGGAAATCTTCTAGTTCTAGACAAATCCAAGGCCTCTTACATCTTCTGCTTAATTATTCTTACACCAAATAGATGGCAACAATGAAGTGCCTTGTCCTGAGATATTGGACTGGAACTCTTTTATTTTTAGACTTTAAATTTATTTTGTTCTGTTTTTAATGTTTCACCCTTTTTTTTTTCCTTTTTCCTGCAGATGTGTTGGTTACTACTCCAAACAGACTCATCTACCTGCTGAAGCAAGATCCTCCAGGAATAGACTTGTCCAGGTACTGAGAGCCTTTAGGCAATCTGGCTTTGCTACTTCTCACGCTTGTTAGTGAGAACCGACTGCGTGTGTAACCTTTGTCCTCCCCACAAATAACTGGTTGAAAAGGAAACCTCTCTGTTCCTAGTGTTGAGTGGCTGGTGGTTGATGAGTCAGACAAACTGTTTGAAGATGGGAAAACAGGATTCCGAGACCAGCTGGCCTCCATATTCCTGGCGTGCACATCCCACGTGGTGAGAAGAGCCTTGTTCAGTGCAACCTTTGCACATGATGTGGAGGAGTGGTGTAAACTCAGCCTTGACAGTGTTGTTCTGGTGTCCATTGGAGCAAGGTATGTGTGCAGTTGCACTCACGTGATTTTTCCGTTCCTGAGCAGATTTACTTTCTTTGCATCACCATTCCACTCAGTTGTGTATCTGTGTTACTAATCTTGGTACTCAAGGAAGTATCTTGAGAACTTTCTTAGATTTGGGGGGAAAATGTTGTATTCTCTTGCCTGTTGCTTTCATCAAATAAACATTAGCCTTAGCAGCATGTACTGGTGAAATAATCTGTCTTGCAGTGTTTCTCTTTCACCAGTTAGTATCTTATACATACAAAATATTAACGGGTGTGTTTCTCTTGGATTTCTGGTTTCAGAAACTCTGCAGCAGAGACAGTAGAACAGGAGCTTTTGTTCGTCGGATCTGAGACAGGAAAACTAACAGCAATGAGAGAGCTTGTTAAAAAGGTATTTTGAAATGATTTAGCACATTCTGCTTGCTTCCTAAATAAGCCATGTACTCTGACAGAGATACATCATTTCCTAAGTCATAGACTTGGGTGTATTTTTAAACTATTGTGCAAATCTGTTTAAAGAGGAGGCATAAGTACTCCCAGTTAAAACTGAGAGGATTTCCCCATCTTGTTACATATTTGGGTCTTTGGTCCACTTGGTATTGTCTATTTAATTTTGCTTGGCGTAATATGAGTGGGTTTTTCGTAATTATTAAAAAAATCTCAGTTTCTGAGAAATAAAAAGCAACCTGGTGCTTAAGTCAAAAACCTCTATCAAAGGTGATGGAGTTGAACTTGCCTAGCTCCAATTTCCAAGTCTTTTGTTGGTCAAAAGTTTGCTCTTTGAAATGTAAAATACTGAAGCTGGTTAAGTCCATAGTAGCACAGTATCTGCAATCAGGAAAAGTAGGAAGAGGAATTGAACCTCAGACTGGCTCATTCTTTTGCAGGGTTTTGCTCCTCCAGTCCTTGTTTTTGTTCAGTCCATTGAGAGGGCTAAAGAGCTTTTCCATGAACTTATTTATGAAGGCATCAATGTCGATGTCATCCATGCAGATAAAACTCAGCAACAGGTAGGAGGATTCATTTCTTTTCCAGAAATACTTTAGAAATGTTAAAACAAGAGAATTCTAATGTGATTTCGGATAATATTTACAAGCATCTAAATTGCTGTAGAGTTTGGTTTTGAGGTTGAGATGTAGATTTATTAGTTAACATGACAATTTTTGGTACATGATTGATCTCTGTTTTCAAGTTGCTACGTAGACTGTTCTCAAGTACCCCCCTTCTCTGTTCTTAGAGAGATAACGTAGTACACAGTTTCAGAGCTGGGAAGATCTGGGTGCTCATCTGCACAGCTTTACTAGCTCGAGGAATTGACTTCAAAGGAGTCAATATGGTCATAAATTATGACTTGCCGACGAGTGCGGTGGAATACATCCACAGGATAGGTGAGTGAGTGTTCTCAGAGCATGTCTTTTTTTTTTTTTTTTCCTCTCAATTTCTTGGTCTCTGATGTAACTTTCTTCTGCGTAAGCAGATGCTGAAATAAAGACTGTTGCTACAGCACTGACTTCTACACCACCTAAGATAGCTTATGTCTGGGCTCACCTTCCAGTAAAATGGACGACTTTTTTTGTCAAGCTTTTATGAACCTTAAGTCTTTAGACCCTTGTGGCATACTAGTGTTTTCAGGCAGCAGGAATAATTTCCAATGGTCAGCTGCTTGGTAGTACCCTTGGTGTAAGCACATCGTGAGACTGCAGCTGGGAAAAAGAAAAAATAAAGGTACTTAAAGTAAAATCCTTATTGTTTCTAAAAATTGCATTTGACAGGTCGAACTGGAAGAGCAGGGCATAGAGGAAAAGCAGTCACTTTCTTTACGGAAGATGATAAACCTTTATTACGAAGGTAAACTGGAAGCATGATGTAGCCAAAATACTTTGTTTTGTGTAATGTTCTGTTGACTCTGACTTGGACCCAGTTAAGGGGCAATTCCAAAAGTCTTGCTTTGGCTTTTTTCTTGTTTTGGGTGTCCTAAGTCATTGCCCCATAGGAAGTATGACTACTTCGTGCTGTGGTTGGGTGTGTGTGGTGGTTGTTTTGTTTTGTTTTTTTTTCTTGGAAGTTTTTGGTAACATAAAAAATGACAGTTATAATTCAGGTCTTTAATTTACTTATTTTTGAAAAGATTTGATAATACTTTCCTGTTTGGCTTTTTATTTACTTGCTTAAAGTCTGTAGTCATCTAGAATTTCAACTTAAGCTATTCAAATGGAGCTATTAGGTTCAATTATGCCTTTTGGCTTTTTTTCAGTTCATTTTGAACTTGCTTGACTTGTTTTTTTGTGTTACTTCTTGCTTAAAAAAAAAAAGAGCCAATTATTAGGAATCATTGTTTTCCTCGGGAGTTGCTTATCTTTCTGTTCAATCACGTACTGCCCGAATTGATCTTTTCTCTGTTCTCCTTTCCAGCATAGCCAGTGTTATTCAGCGAGCCGGCTGTCCTGTGCCAGATTACATAAAACACTTTCCCAAACTGCAAAGGTATGTTTCTGTTGGATAGTTTGCCTGTTCATTTTCCATTTTAAAAACCTGCCTGAATGATGCTGAATATTTAAATCTACTAGTTTGCAGTATAGTTTCAGTTTATGTGCAGAAGAAATCTTAAGAGTGTGATAGTGGTGTTTTTTTTTTACTTGGATGACAAAATCTCTCAATCACAGAAAAGTTTGATCCCAGGAGAAAGCAAGCCCTTTACTCTTTCGATTTAGCTTGAACAAATGGATGTGGGAGTGATCTGAATAGATAAATATATACCTGTCTATGTGTGTTTTTAATTAGTGCTTCTGTGCACACCTTTTCATGTAGGACATAAAGTGGTGTCTAAAAATAGAAACTTGTGTGTATCTTTTTAAACCTAAGGTTTTTTTTTAATACCCTGTGTGGCTGAACTGAATTTGGAATAAACGATATCAAAAAGCTTTAGTAGATGTTAGTGACTTACTGAAAATATATTCAGATCTGTATCTGTTGTTTACATTGGATATTAATTTTTGCCCTTTACATCTGTTTGATCCTTCTTTATTAAATGTTGTTTTTCAGCAAGCAAAAGAAGAAATTTGTTAAGAAACCGCTGACAAGAGAAGCCATTTGTACAACCCCTCAGTGCTTCTTAAAAAAGTCCAAAAGAAAAAAGTAAGTAGTTTTGTCCCAAGAGGAGATAAGAGGTCCCCTGTAACTGAGGCCCAGCAAGCTTGACCAGCTGTCCTGCTAGTAGTAACTACTACTTGGACAGACCACCAAGTAACAGTGCTGGTAATGATGGTGTAGACAAAGCAAATAAAACCCACTACCTCATCTTCACACTGTTGCTACCAACAGATTTATGTTTAGCAGCACAAATGTGATGTAAAATGGCTGTCTGGGTAACTCATGTGCACTTAACCTTTTTGATGCATAATATTCAGCTTTCTTAGGCTCTAATGTGTTTCTTTTAGGAAAACTGCAAAAGAAAACATAAAGGAAAAAAAGAAAGTTAAAGAAGTTAAAAGTAACAGTAAATTACAGACTGTTTCAAAAAGCTAAATGATGACAAACTACTCCAGGAGTTGGGCTGACACCCGTATTTGTACTGAAGAACAGAAGATCAAACATGACTGCTAAGGAGAAGAGAGAATATTGTTGTTCATGGCCAAGGTTTCTTATTCCTTCTGGGTGAGGATGGATGTTTACATGCAGGAAAGTCTCTATGTAGAAGATTCCTGAATGCTTCTTATAGAAGGTGAAGACTGTGTTCTTGCAGTAAATATCTTAAACTTCCAAACTATTTAAATAGCATTTGTTTCTGTTACTGTCATAGTAAATATCTTAAACTTCCAAACTATTTTAAAAATAGTGTTTGTTTCTATTACTGTCATGTGGTTTTGTACTACATCTTGGAAATGACTGTCTGCTCTATCTTGAGATCATCCATAACCCTTTTGTTGGAGATCATCCATAATCCTTTTGTTGGATTTGTCATAAAATATAGTGGCAGAGGATGGGTGAAGCTTAATTGGGCTTGGTAAATACAGCTGTTGAAGACTTCCTTGGACATGTGAAAACAAAACCAAACCAAACTTTTGCATCCTCTGTGAATGAAGCAGACTTGCTCCTGCTCCTTTTTTTGCTTTTGCTTGAACAGCAGCAGTTTGAAATAAGTCTAATTTTATGACTGTAAAGCACAATAATTTTATGTTATTTCATATTTAGGTATCAACACAAAATAAATAATGTCATAAGAAATTCTAATAGATTTATGTCTGCTTATAGAGCCTTGACAGATTGAGTCTGCAGCTGTTATTCCTTAGCCTGTTCTGCAGAAGGGCCAGACTCTGTACATTTTTCCATCTCCTCTTCTATGTGTTCTTAGTCCACTGTTGTCATATCAGAATTCCAGTAATGCAGGACTGGCTTCTCCTACCCAACAATAATAAGTTCCTGTTCCAGGACAGGTTTCTTGCAAAGTACACACACAGAGCTTTGCCTTCAAGGCTTTGTCATGTTTAACCCATTTTGGAAATGGATCCTAGATCTGTAGAAATCATTTACCATTCAGTGCTGTTACTTTTGCTTACATGATGGGATATATTTAATAACTGCTAATAGGTAAAATTTATATGCTTATTCCAGTAGTGGTAGCGGGAGAGAAAACAGCTTTTGATCATCAGCATCTTAATCTTGCATAGCATGCTGTGATCTTAATTCTGCAGAAAGAAGTTACCATAATTCTCTTTTGGGAGAATTCAGTTAAAAAAGGAGACAGCTTAAAGCTTAGGCTTCCTAATGTGTTTTTGAAAACTTTTTCGTAGGTTAGTGCTCAGTGTAAGCAGTGTTATCTCAGAATTTACTTCCGTAAGCTTTTGATCATCAGCATCTTAATCTTGCATAGCATGCTGTGATCTTAATTCTGCAGAAAGAAGTTACCATAATTCTCTTTTGGGAGAATTCAGTTAAAAAAGGAGACAGCTTAAAGCTTAGGCTTTTCCTAAGGTTGAGTCAGATTTTAATGTGTTTTTGAAAACTTTTTCATAGGTTACTGCTTAGTGTAAGCAGTGATATCTCAGAATTTACTTCCGTGTAAAGTAATGGAAAAATGGTCATACTGCATCTTGCACCTTTGCACCTGCCTCAGGGCACAGATGATCTCCATCCCTTCTGTGTTTTTCTAATACATTTCAGCAAGCTCTGGCTGATCTTATTAAGAGATATGAGCTGCTTCTGTGCCACTGCATGATTAACCAGTAAATCACAGTGCACCTAATCACCAGAAGTGCATTTATTCTGCAGTACTTCTGAGGGTTTGGGCTGACAGTTATAACGTAATAACACTGAGGTAATACTTCAAATGACCTGAACAGGGCCAGCTGTTACAAGCCTCTGTGTGCCCAAATGAGGCAGAATGAGTGCTGCCCTTGCAGGGGCTATTGCAGTGGCAGTAGAAGAGGGCACAGCTGCAGCTGCATTTCATTGCCAAGCCTGGGACTTGGAGTGCCCCTGCCTAATTACGGTATTGAGAAGGGTGGCGTTTTCATCATCACCATTATTATTTTTCACAGAACAGCATTAGCGCCTTCCTTTCCCCCTTCCTCCCTGCACGAGTAGCTGCTGGCGCGGCTGCTCCGGTGCCAGCAGCGCAGATGGCAGGAGAGGGAGCGGGATGATCTTCCCGCTGTTCCCCGCAGCCCCGGCGCTGCCGTGGGCAGCAGCGGTGCCCGCTCTGCTCCCCGTGGGGCAGGAGTGTCGCAGGCCGTGCTGCCGCAAGCAGCGAAACCCCCTTATTGGATCACATAATCAACCAAGGTGTTATTTAAAATGATGTTTTAATTAATAAATATTAGCACGGGCGGTTTAGTGCCTAAACACAACTAGGTCAACCCAACCTCAATTTTGAGGTCTCTTGCAAAGAAGACGGGAATCGGCACATTTGTGAAAGCGGGGCATTTCTATCAGGCCTTTGCTGTTGTTTTTCTTTTGTCCCAGCATGGAGAAACTCCCTGTCTGTCCTGTGTGGGTTCTGGTGGGCCCCATCCTGGCCCGTGTTGTGTGTCCCTGAGGTACTGCCGGATCCGCGCTCCTCGGGCAGGGCCGGGAAGGCAGACATACCCACATGTGTGTCTGTGTGTGTATATATACCATATATATATATATATATATATAATCGATACTGGTGTCGCTGCAGCCAGCACAGCCCCGCGCGCTCCCCTCAGCGCCGGGCG